TTCAAACCAGCCACAACAGGTTTATGTAAATATCAAAACACCTCCAGTAGTTTGTCTCATATTAAACTGCATTGGGGGCTACAGACAATAAACACCGAGCTGTAAAAACCTGTAGTGAGTCAAAGAGATGAAGGCTTCTTCCTGTGTTCCCTTCATGGATGGGAAAGTAATCTTAACATAATAATCACGATAAGTAAAACATTAACGCTAATGTAAATAAACCAGACTAATAATATGAGAAATGTCTCCAACATCAACACACAAAAGGGACTTATGTGGTGATGACACACAACAAAAACAACATTTACAAACAGGAGTGAGGTATTCTGTGCCAGCTGCTGTCTGGCGATCCAAACGGAAGCAGCTCTCTGCTAAAGCTTCAAATCCAAACGGGCTGCAGGACATTAAACGCTGCCGGGGTCGGTGAAAGCTAAGTGCCCTTGAGATAAAGGTGGGGACAGTTAAAGCTGCATCTCTCTCATATGACGAGGAAAAAAAAACTGGAGACCCAAACATTTAACATGCATCTTTTTACAACCTTTATAAAAGGTGACATTTAACTTGAAATCGGAAGAAAAGAAAAAAAGAAATCAGCAGAAAAACAACAGCAGGGCTAGCCTGACGCAGCAGATTTTGCAGCATTGAGCTGCTGCCTGCTACAGGTTCATTAAGCATCAGAGAAGGTGGAGGAAGAAGGCAAACCAACACAACAAAAGACTAAAATATAAAAGAAAGGCATCATATCAATCATGTTAATTAAACTACATAGTTTTTAATATAAAAAACAAACAAAAACTACAAAAATATTTATGTTTTTGTTAGAAAATGAGTATATACAACTACAGTATGCTATATTAATTTATAGTACCACCATTATATCACACTGCAGCAATTATAGCTGAATTATTAACATTGTGTATTTTCATGTACAATATTTGGAGTTTTACAACATCTACAAATTTCAATGTAGTTGATGTTAAAAATTCTAATTTCTGCTCCATAAATCCAATTTTCCTGAATTATTCTTATTTCTCTTTTTTGTATTCTGCAGTGACTTTTGTCGGTGTATCCTCAGAACTCCACAGTTATTTAAAACTAATAAAAAAATATATAAAAGTATGAAATATTCAACAATATCTGGTTTAGAATGAGTCCCATTGTTCCCCAACACTGCCACATTTTTACTATTTTTGCCTCTGCATGTCTAACGTCTGGCTTCCTGCTTATTTTGTGATTTAAAAACTACAGCAAGAAATTTATTTTTATCTACCTTTTCTACAAACACATATTAAAGAGAATTAAAATAACTTTAAAATGACACCAAGATCATGTTTCTGGGTTTAAAAAAATGGAAGTTACAGCTTCTTTAACACAATTATCTAATTTTGATATAACGTTCTGAATTTATATTAAAAGTCTTTGTCAAATTTTGGTATAATTC